AGAGTAATTCACATAGTATTACATATCCACTATTGTGTTTTCTCATAGGTTCCTAAGGTACTTATGAGAATAATTCTGCTTTGCACAGACATATAAAATATAAGAGATGTCATAAAAATGTGTAGACAGAAAGTCCTTGCAGATTTCCTGTCCTTAGGGACAAGCTTCTGGGGAGTAAGAGCAATAAAGAGTTCATGTAATCTGCTTTGTATGACACTCTGTATACTTCCCTTGAGCACAATTTTCTGTGCTGTGAAATTGTGGCAATCATTATATTAAAGACTAGTAGCTAAGTCCCAGCAGACATCAGTGAAAAGGGACTTTTATTACATCTATTTATTTACTTGTTTGTTATTTGTTTATTTATTATTTAATTGGTGTGTGTGTGTGTGTGTGTGTGTGTGTGTGTGTGTGTATTACGCACATGACATAGAACCCATTTGGAGGTCAGTGTACAACATGCAAGAGTAGGTTTTCTCATTCTATCACCTGGTTCCTGAGGATCAAATTCTCACTCTCAGGCTTTTCAGCAAGCAAGTTTAACATCTGAGCCATCTCTCTGGGTTTTTGTGACAACACTTTCTACATGAAAATAATCTCTAGAATATTTGAGGCTATTATATCAATTTTTATTCTGTTTATTTAAGCTTGGAAAATAAAAATAATAAAAATAACTTGCAACTATTATTGAAAGTTGTTCCTTATATGTCTATTGTTTTTAAGACATCTTGAAATCTCTGTGAAGGAGCTAGAGATGAAAAATTGGTTTAAGGTAGATATTGTGGGATTAAAGAAAAATGAACTTTGCAATCATTTTGTTGATAAAATTGTTGATGGAATGGCTTTCTGTAAAGGGACAGGTGAGAAATTATGAAAACACTATGGCCTAAGACATGGAGTAAATTAATAAATAAATGGGGCGTGGATGATAGCAGCCATGTTGCTTCAAGCAGATTACATTACTACATTAGCAATGGGGATTTCTAAAATTATTCACATGTTATTAAAAAGCACAATAGGACAGGCAGCCATACTGTAGGGGCTTCATGGACACAGCTTTTCCATTATGTTTAGAAGTTGCTATCTCACAGCAGATATTCTGATCATCTGGTTCTTACAATCTTTCCTCCCCCTCTTTGCAATGTTCCCTGAGCATTAATGAAGGGGTTTCAATGTAGAAACTATGCACTGTGACCTGTTGTGGATCAATATAATAACCTCCATCAGCTGAAAAAGAAGCTTCTCTGGTGAGTGAGGAGAGCTATACTTACCTGTTGCTGTAAGGACATGTATTTAAAATATAGTTATAAATTACATTGTGTGATAGTTTGAATGAGCAACATCTCCCATAGACTCCAAGTAATGGAATACTTGGCCCCAGTTGGTGGCACTGTTTGCAGATGTTTAGAAGGGGTGATCTTGTTCGAGGAAGTATGTCACTGGGGTTGGTATTTGAGACTTCATATCCTTGCCTCACTTCCAGTTTGCTTTCTCTCTACTTCCTGCTAGTGACTCAAGATGTGAGCTCTAAGCTTTCTTCTGCCACCATGTCTCCTCCACCTTTACAGTTTCTCCCTCTGGAACTATAGCTCAAATAGACTCTTTCTTCTGTTAGTTACCTTGCTCAGCAACAAAAAAGAACTAATACATATTGGTTTATAAAAATGACAGCAATTGAACTCTCCACTGTCTATGACCTCTTCAGCTACATGTAAATTGGTTAGGTTTACAGTACCAGGCATACATTTCTTCCTATTGAGTGGGTCTTAAGTTAGACAGCTGTTGGTTACCCAAAAGATAAAGGTGCAACTATTATACTGTTGGGGATATCTTGCTAGACCAGTCATTATTGTGGTTAATAGCAGGCTTTACATATGGGTAGGATTATTGATTGTTTTTCACTCTTGGCAGTTTGCATAGCACCTTCTGATAGTATGAAAATAGTTCTCAGGGAGGAGGCTTCTAGGTCAATTCCAGCTTAATTACTTGAAATTGTGGGTCCAAGCTGTGTGGTATCTTCAGGTCTTACCTTCAAGTTCTGAGAAGCAACCAAGGTCAACAACAATAGCCTACATTGTCTGGGGACTCATTTAGACCCGATTGACCAACAACTTGAAGGGACGTTTCCAATGTTTCCAATGGGATTTTTGTTAGTTTGTGGCCCTGGGACGGGAGCATTATCAGTCCTTGGGGCATAACTCCATTTAAACTACGTGTAAATATGTATACACATAGGCACATGGATACAAGTATATATAGTCTATATGCTTTTTAAGCAAGTTTATAAAGTAATGGTCCCCTATGTCTTTTTCAAACTTCTGTAGTGTTATTGCTTATTCCTCCATCATCTTCTGTATTATCCCTCTGCCCAATTAGAGTCCATCACTCTACTTCCCCTTCATAGTCCCGGTGTCCTACTATTCTGCTCTCTATAGATCCCCTTCCCCTCTGCAGCTACTTGAGGTTATGTACTCAAATCTAGAGGTTTGGAGCTTGGATTCACAAATAAGTGAGAATTTGTTGAGTGTCTTTCTGGGTCTGGGTTACCTTACTCAGTTTAATATTTTCCAATTCCATCCATTCACATTCAAGTTTTATGGTTTCCTTTCTCTTTAAACTGAGTACAATTCCATTGTGTATGTATATCACATTTTTTGTTATCCATTAATCAGTTTAATGGCACATAGGTTGTTTCCATTTCCTAGCTAATATGAATGAAGTTGTAATGAACATGGCTGAGCAAGTGTCTTTCTAGCAGGATGTTGAGTCCTTTGAGTACAGCCAAGGATTGCTATATCTGGGTTATATGGTAGCTCTACTTTTAGTATGTGGAGAATTTTTCATTGGTTGCACCAGCTTGTAATTTCATCAACAGTGAATGAAGGTTCCCCTTTACTGGTATCCTCATCAACATTTGTTGTCAGTTGTTTCCTTGATCTTAGCCCTTACAGCTGAGATAAGACGACATATCAAAGTAGTTTTGATTTATGATAATCTAATTGCTAAATATTTTGAACACTTTTAAAGGTATTTCTCTGCCACTTTTATTTCTTCTTTTGAGAACTCTCTGCTTAGATCTACAATCCATTTCTAAATTGGGTCATTTATTTTCTTGATTCTTTGGTTTTAAAGTTCTTGTACATTCTGGCTATTAATTCTCAATTGGTTGTACAGCTGACAAAGATTCTCTCTCACTCTGTGGGCTTCCTTTTCAGTTAAATGATTGTTACCTTTTCTGTGAGATACTTTTTAGTTTCATGAGACCCCATTTGTCAATTATTGGCCTTAGTTCCTGAGGAAATGTAATCCTTTCTCGTACTTATACCTTGTGGGAAAATGCCTATGTTCTCTTCTTTCCCTATATTTATTTTGCTTTTCTTCCTCAATAAGCACATTCTGGGTCTTAGATTGACATGATGCTATCTAGTTCACTGTGGAATTCCTCAACTGCTCTTGATGATGGATTTATCTAAGTGACTAAGTCCTTCTTAAAAGTGTGTGAGTGGAGGTCAGGGCTATCACTTTCAGGTAGTAGGTCTCTCCACAGGGGATAGACCTTTCTCCTTATGGCCACATGATGTAGATGGTTGATGTATCTGGAGTCATTATTTGAAACCAAAGATAGGAGCTATACATAGATAATAGTGTAGTGATTTAATAGACATGTATATTTGTGACAATGATTGTACCACCCTTGAATGATTTTTTGGCTCAAGATGTGGGGTGTGGTGTGTGTGTGTGTGTGTGTGTGTGTGTGTGTGTGTGTGTGAGTGTGGGCAAACCCATGTCAAAGCATGCACATAGAAGCCAGAGGATAACCTTGGGTGTTGGTACTCGTTTTCCACCTTGTTTGAGGAAGGGACTCTCGTTATAAGTATGCCAGGATATATATGAAATCTCCAAGGGATGCTCCTGTCTCTATTTCCCATCTTGCCACAAAAGTATTTGAATTACAGGTGAGGGGTACCGTGTATAGTTAACATGGAGTCTGGAGATTTTAACTCATGTCCATATGCTTGTATAGCAAGTGCTTTACCAATGGAAATGTTTCCTTACTACACAGTCTAAAATTTTAATACTCTATCCTTTATCAGTTCTTAGAATCAGTAGGGACATTGGAACCAAAACTTACACATATGTGTGTATAGATAGATACGTTTATGTATTCACTTTTAAAATCAATTTTAGTACTAAGTATTTGGTACCAAAAATACATAAGTCATCATTTCTATCCAGTTCAAATATTTCAAAAACTTCTACAGATTGTTTTGTGCATCTAATAATAAAACAAAAATTATGAACTTAAACTTGACTCAATAGGCCTTAATATAAATGACAGAATGAAAAATCTGTTGGTGGGGCTATGGGAGGATGTGGATGGGAAAGGGGGTATAAAGATTATTAAGATGTTTTATATGAAATATAAAAATTCTCAAAAAATAAATAAAAATAAAATTAGAAAAATAATATACATACATATTTGTATTGGATAAACATACACTAATATCTTGTAAGATAATGTAATTGGAAGAAATGACTGACAGAGGGGAACAGCCTCCTCTGTCTTAAAATTTGTTGGAATGAGATGAACTGTCGCAGCATTGAAGTTCCCAAATCCAGGTGATTTTTGTCAGGCTGATGACAAAGTCATGAACATTTTACATCTCTGAGGACACAGATAATTTGCAGGAGCAGAATAAAGATGTATAAGTGTTCATGCTTGAAAAGGTTACATAACGAAACTGGTGCTAGCCTCTGGGCACATTTTAATCAGAGGGCCTGGGAAGCCATGGTGCTACTTGGAGATGTCTGTTGTTTATATAATGCATTTTTGGGAGACTTTACGATAGAAGGATCAGAAAAAAAAATAAGCGATCATGGCCTATCATCTAGAATAGAACCTAAAATATAAAAGGAATATTTTCTTTCTGAGTCTTAGAAGATATTCTAGGGAGAAATTTTGAAAGTCATAAATTTTGGGTAATTAAAAATTATCTTTTTCATAAGAAACTTCTTTTTTCAATGATCTTATTTAGAGCAACCTTAACATCCTTATTTCTAAGGCTGTAGATCAGGGGGTTCAACATGGGCACAACAGTGGTATAAAAAACAGATGACACTTTCCCTTGGTCCATGGAGCTGACTGAAGATGGCTGAAGGTACATGAATGTAGTTGAACCAAAGAAAACAGCAACAGCAGATATGTGGAAGCTGAAGGTCTTGAAAGCTTTGGACCTTCCCTCCTTGGATTTAATGTGGAGAATGTTGGCAATGATGAAGATGTAAGAGCTGAGGATTGTCATGGTGGGTATAAAGATATTGAAAGAACTGAGGCATAGGAGTACTACCTCATTGATGAAAGTGCTAGTACAGGCGAGCTCCATCAATGGAAAAAAATCACAGAAGTAATGGTTTATTGTATTAGCCTTACAGAACTGCACTCTTAGCATGCAGAGAGTATGAGTTGTGGCACCAATCAATCCCATACTGTATACTCCAAATATCATCCAAGAACAGACTTGGTAGGACATTGTAACGTGGTAAAGCAAGGGGTTACAGATGGCCACATAGCGGTCATATGCCATTACAGCCAACATGTGAGCCTCAGATATAACAAAAGCAGTGAAGACATACAGTTGAGTCATGCATTCAGGGTAGGAGATGACGTTCTTCTCTGACACAAAGCTCACCAGCATTTTGGGGGTAATGACTGTGGAATAACAGAGGTCAATGAAGGACAGACTGCTGAGGAAGAAGTACATGGGGGTGTGCAGGTGGGAGCTGAGCAGGATCAGGATGATCATGCCCAGGTTCCCCATCACTGTGATCATGTAAATTCCAAGGAAGAGGAGGAAGAGGGGCAGCTGCAGCTCAGGTTTCTCTGATAATCCAACGAGGATGAACTCGGTCACCATGGAGAAATTTTCTTCTAACATTTTTCTTCGGGAATTCTAGGTAGGAAAATAAGAAAAATGAGATAGGCATGAAGTATCCTACCACATACAATCATTAGCTGCCTATAAACCCTCTGGGAGCCTGGCATCTCCCTTCCATCAAGAAAATGTTCATGTACAGGTTTACTAATATAATCCCTTGGCCCCCAAAAATTTTATCTTTAAGTGAAAGGAGTTCTCCAAATTTCCAATCTGGGGAGTCAGCGGTGAATGACTGATGAAAGAACTCCTGGTATTCAGAGTACAAGTGACTTTCTAACATGATGGGAATTCAAACATTTTCAACCAGGCATCTTTAGTTTTTATACCTACTAATACATTTTAGCAGTCTAACCCATTGGGATCCCAAAATATGGGAAATGTGAGTAAATATCAACTAGTTCCATCCCTTCTTTTGTCCTATGCTAGAATGTGGTAGTACATCTCTGAATGTCCAGGCAAGAGGTCTGATGGATTTAACGAGGTTTGCTAAGGATTCTTAGTGTGTTATTCATAATCTTCCCAATGCCTCTGCAGAGAACATGCTTTGTATGTGACAATAACAGCATCACCCACAAAAATAATAGAACCAATTCTATGCTTACTGGTGATGACTGAAAGACTTCTTTCACAAGTTAGTGAATAGCATGAAATATATACTTTGTATTTTTATTCAACAAAATAATGGTCTATATAAGACAATCAGACAAAAATTGACATAAAAGCTTCCAATTTTTAAAGCAAGAAGTACAACCACATCTAATTATAAATGAATTAATCTTGTGAATAGAAATTCTATGAAAAAGAAAGTATTATTAGAATTAATTTAAAAGGTCTGTAATGTGGTTAGATAAAATGTCAATAAGAAAGTTCAATAATTATAAAAATCCATCTGTAATATTATGAAAAATTTATGTTACAATCATTAAAGAAGACTTCACAAAATCCAGAGGACTTTGCGATGACTTGGGCCAGTTGGAGGGAGAGAGGAAGGGATGAAAATGAAGAAATGATATAAAATGTAGGAAATTCTCAAAAAATTAAAAAAATTCTGAAAATCAACAGAAATAAATTACAGAAACCAGATATGATCCTTTAAATTATAAAATATTATTGAAAAACATTAAGCCTTACATAAATGGAAAGAAATATCCCACATACATGAATCAAAAGATTTAACAGAAAATATCAACATTTACCAAATTGGTAAACAATTCAGAAAAATATTTATCAAAATCCCAGGTATCTTATTGCATGCAATGACATGTTATCACAAATCTCTTTAGAATTATAGAATCTGGAGCAAACTTGAAACAGAACAAACTTGAAAGAGTGGTATGAAGTTGGTCTCAAGTTTTCCCTCTTGAAAACTTACTGCAATTTTGCAGTGTCATCATAAGTGGAGATGTGCTGATAAAGCAAAGTAAATTTGAAATCAAGAAATTTACTTATAACTCTGAAGATTTGTGTATGTTTTCTTGAGTCTTATTTGGGGAGCAGATCATTTTATCAGTTGATGGATAATTAGATAGCTACATGTGAAATGACTAATATGTAACACTTTCTAACACTAAGCACAAAATTAAGGGGAATATGTGCTAGGAAGGGTAAATGGGGTGGGGAATGAGAGAGCAGTCTAGAGAGTGGAGTGTGAGAATGGATAGCCAACACTAAAAGCCTGTTGAAAAATATATATATATAATCAAAAGAGTTTAAATGTAGTTACCCTATAACATGGGGCTAATTTCACTACCAGACCCTATAAATTAGTGAATAAAAAACCCAGTGCCAGGAACAGACTCCTTCTGTTGGACTTGTTGACCAAGGATGTCCTAAACAATCTTAAACAATACTTTCTATTATGATTACTCTTGGTCACCGTTCAAAATTTGATTGTAAGACCCCATTGCTGAAATCACTACATATGTGAGTTGTAGAACAAGCATGGAGAAATCAAGCTGGTGCTGACCTCAAGGCTTCATCTCTAATGCCTAGCTTATATAGTGCTCAAAGTTGTGCATTCTCCTGGAAGAGAAAAGTAATCATCAATCTTATGCAACTGTGAAAGCTGAGAGCTAAAATAATGGCAGGCATAGCCAGATAGGCTCATTGATGTAATATTGGCATGAATGTTAGGGTAGTAAGCAATCATGTTCTGATTAGATTTAAGATTTTTCTCACAATGTGGATCCCATACCTAACACTGTTATCAGGACCAATAACTTTTGGCTTGACAGGTCACAGTCTGTAGGTGAGACGTTAATATTATGCTGCCAAATGAACACAATATTAAACCAACTCCTAATTAATTATTGTTATACCCATATATTAGTGCATCTCTCAACTGTCACCAGAGATCTTTCTTCTGACAGCAGATGATGATTAACATGGAGAACCACAACTGGTCAACATACAGAAAATAACAAGCTTGGCTCTAAATGGGAGACCTATACCACAACCTCTCTCCACAATATTCAGGGATCATGATGGAAAAAGAGAGTCAGAAGTTTCTAAAATCCAGAGGTAGTGAATGAACACATGGAAACTGTGTTACCCAGATAGAGCAGGGCAGTTTCAAGTATGAAACCACAGTGGTCATCCTAGCATGTAAAGGCCTGTGCAAACCCAAGCCAGACAAAAATCTATTATAAATGAGGAAGATGGGAAAGAATCCACTATCCTAGATAAGGAACTATTGGCAACTGATAGCTTCAGGGAGAGGGAGAGTCACTTTTCTTTAAGGGTGTGATACCAGGTTGGTTGACCAGGCTTCAGAGTTCAGACTCACACCCAAGAGCATTTGGAGAACACATTAGATTCAACTGGTCTTAAAAAATAGTAGAGGACATGAAGTGATGGACGTAGGGTGGGGGGTAAGCCTGAGAGGAGCTGGCATAGGGGTTCTGAAGGAGGAGGTTTGAATATGATCAAAATACATTTTATGAGATTCTCAAAGACTCAATAATATCATTTAAACATGCTAAACTTTAATATTATTAAAAATGTACAAGACTAGATCTTTGTAACTATGGATTTGGTGAAGATTTCTTGGATAAGATACCAAAACCAGAAGTTACGATAGAAAAAAGTGAAATTTTGGGATTATGTAAAAGAAAAGTTAATCATGCCATAAAGACACCAACCAGCAGTTAAAATGAAAGACATTACTTAGATATAAATAACATATTTTGATAAATAAAAGGACAACAATCTAAGTAAAAATGGTAAGAGGATTTAAATATTCTTTCTTCTATTGGAGATGGAGAGATTCCCTATAAGCATCTGAAAATAAGTGCTTTATATCTAATTAAATTCAGGTAAAACTGCATTGAAGTAACATTTCACATAAATGTCAGAGGTAATAATAAAGTGATAACTCCTGGCAAGGATATGAAGGAATTGGGATCCTCAGATGTTACTGGTGATATTATAAAATGGTACAGACTTTATGGAAAATAATTAGGTAACTTCACAATATAAACCATAGAGTTACCATATGGTTCAGCAATTTTATTACTGGAGACATTGACACAAGAATCGAAAATATGCACTCACAAAAATAACTTGTGCCATCAGTAGTTAGAGTACCAGTGCTTACAGTACTCAAAGTCTGGAAGCCATACAAATGTCTATCTAGTAGTGTATGGGAAGGCAATCTCCACATCATACATAAAATGGAACATTTTATGCATAAAAAGGAATGGTGTCCTGATATATTTAATCTCCTCAATTATCTTGAAACTCATTAATGGAGTCAGACAGAGAAGCCCACACAGTGTAGGGCCCCACTGTAGGCCAATTCGTATAGTTACAAAGCAGAACAGTGTCTATCATATGCAATGGGAAGAGAGGTACTGACATGACTGGTCATAGTTATAGGGCATTGGTTGGGTTGATGACAAAGATAATCTAAAACAGAATAGTGATGACAGCAAAGCATCACAAATATGTTAAAATATTAATTTTACACTGATAAAAATGAATTTTATATGAGTTATTAAACTAAACAAAATCAAAACAACACCATCCCCACACTGACCACACCACAACATTTCCATCACACCCTGTTTTTTGCTGCTTTCTGGGTTCCTTTCACATCTAGATTATTGCAATTGATGTGTAACTCTGCAGTTATGCCAGTTATACCTTTCTCCAAAAACACGGCATTTCTCTGTCCCATAGAAAAAACAAAATGCCATTATACGCTGACTAGCATGCCTTTTTGGTCTGTTGAGGTCGGGTCTTACCATGTAGCCCCCACTGACCTGGAAGTTGCTATGCAGATCATCTTAGACTAGCATTGGTATTGCAGTGACGCAACTGCCTCGACCACCAGGTGCTTGGATTAAAGGCATGCACCACTCTTGCAACTTATAGGATTTTATTATCTCCCTTATACATAGTAAGACCTAATAGGAACTCCTAGGCCTTTATGCTAATTAACTTTTAAGGAGTTAGAGACACAAAACATAATTTAACATTTTTTATATATCAGGGAAAATAATAGAAATGTAAATATGAAAATGGAAACAACAGGATATTATATAGATTATCAGATAATTCCCATGATGATAAAATGGACAAAGACATGTACTTTTGATTCTTTTCAATGACTGGCTGACTGTTTTGACATGTTCCTATCTCTCTCTAGGAAACACTGATCCCCAGCACTGAAGTGACATAATCTTGTCCAGTCATTATGACTTTGACATTAATAGGGGGGTTCTGACCTACTGTGGGTGATGTAGTGTATGGGTTCGATTGTTTTATTTATGTAAGTAAAATCATTCAGGATTTTTCCTTCAGTGACTGCGGTATTACTATTTGCATAATTCATTCATGTGACAAAGATTTTCTTAATAGAAAGGCAAAAATGCATTCCTTTAAAGAATGCAGTGAATACTCAGAATCATCATGAGATTGCTAAAAATTCTTATTTTTATCATTGTTATTTTATAGAACTCTTAAAATTGATTTTTAGTTTTTCTTAGAAAGCGGTTTTATCACAGCATCTTTGA